CAGGATTCCTCAAGAGTCCGGAGTCCTGAGGGTCTCTCAGGATGTCTCCGGATTCTTCAGGAGTCTGGGGGCATCTCAGGATTCCTGAGGAGTCCTCAGGGTCTCTCAGGTTCCCTCAGGATTCCTCAAGAGGTCCTGAGGGTCTGTCAGGATTCGTCTGCTCGGGAGTCTTCAAAGCCTCTCAGGATTCCTGAGGGTTACTCAGGACTCCGCAGGACTCCTCAGGATTCCTCAGGAGTCCTCATCGTATCTCAGGATTCCTCGGGATTCTTCAGCTGAGCCCTCAGTGTCTCTCAGGATACCTCAGGAGTCTTCAGGGTCTCGCAGGATTCCTCAGGCCCTCAGGGTTTCTCAAGATTCCTCAGGAGTGTTCAGGGTCTCTCAGTATTCCTCAGGATCCCTCAGGAGTCTTGAGGGTCTCTCAGGATTCCTCAGGATTTTTCTCGAGTCCTGAGGGCTTCTCAGGAATCCTCAGGAGTCCTGAGGATCTATCAGGCTGTCTCAGGATTGACCAGGAATCCGGAGGGTCTCTCAGGATTCCTCAAGAATTCTCAGGAGCCCTCAGGAGTCCTCAGGGTCCCTCAGGACTCCTCAGAAGTTTTCAGGGTTTTTCAGCCTTCCTCAGGCTTCTTCAGGAGTTTTGAGGGTCTCTCAGAATTCCTCAGAATACCTCGGGAGCCCTAAGGGTCTCTCAGGATTCCTCAGGAGTCCTGAGGGTCTTTCCGGATTCTTCAGGGTTCCTCAGGGTCTCTCACACTTCCTCAGGAACCTCAGGGTCTCCCAGGAGTCTTCAGGAGTCCTGAGGGTTTCTCAGGATTCCTCAGGATTCCTCAGGAGTCCTGAGGGTCTCTCAGGATCCCTCAGGATTCCTCAGGAGTCCTCAGAGTCTGGTTCGTACGGCGGCTTGGATCAGATTGGAACGTATCTCAGATTGGATATCATATTGCGCTCCAGATTGAGGTGCCTGTCAGATTGGCTTGTGAGGGCAACCATACTGCATGTTGTGCCAGATTGCCGGGTTGGGCACTTCGCCAGATCGGCCAGATTGGTTTTAGGGCCAGAATGCCAGTTTGGAATGTTTGCCAGATTGGGTGTGTCCCCCCTTAGGGGTGCGCCATGATCATTGTTTCGGCATCCGCCAGATTGGGTCGTATACCAGATTGCCCCTCAAATCATATATCTATATATGATGTTGGAGCCGTTTGCCAGATATGAATTTGTTCGCCAGATTGGGCTTCGCCAGATTGGAGCAGATTGACCCCTTTTGCCAGATTGCCAGATTGGACCCGCCAGATTGGCGCCAGATCGGCTTCGACTAGCCAGCCTGGAGACGAAAGTGCATGTAAAACCGCATTGAAAACATCGTACCTCTCGTCGGAGACTCGGTTTTCGGTTCGCAGCTCGAGTCTCCGGCAGCCGTCCGGGGCGATTCGGGCAGCCCGGGGATCTTGCGGCGAGGCGCAGCTGCTGGGAAGCGCCCTGAGGCTGGAAACCCGCCGAGAACCGACGAGAATCGCCACGCGCAGAGGGGGGGGAAAGGGGGAGGGGGGCAGGCTTCTTAGAAGCACCCCTGCTTCTCAGAGGGCGCGGGCCTTCTCCTGTACATGTAAGGCCGGGGCCTTCTAAGAAGCAACCTCCTTCTAAGAAGCCTACCCCCCCTCCCCCTCCCCCCACTCTCCTCCTCCTCCTCCTCCTCCTCCTCCTCCTCCTGCTCCTCCTGCTCCTCCTGCTCCTCCTGCTCCTCCTCCTCCTCCTCTCCCCTCCTCCCTCCTCCCTCTCCCTCCCCCTCCTCCTCCCCCTCCTCCTCCTCCCTCTCCCCCTCCTCCCTCCTCCCGCCTCCCGCCTCCCGCCTCCCTCCTCCTATGTGAGACATCGGCGGCGGCGACGGAAATCTTTACTTTTTGTTTCCGCTTCCTCCTCTTCCTCCTCCTCCTCCTCTTCCTCCTGCTCCTCCTGCTCCTCCTGTTCCTCCTGCTCCTCCTTTTTCTCCTCCTCCTCCTCCTCCTCCTCCTCCTCCTCCTCCTATGAGAGACGCCTTTTGGAATTTGCACCGCCGAGCGCCCGAACAGCTCGGCCGTCACTGGTCGGTGGGGAGGGCCGCCGGAGGCGGCTGCCGGCAGCCCTGGCCGCACGGCTTTGGTGACTCGGAGATTGGCTCGCTCGCCGAGGGCGTCTCGGGCGACTGGGGCCTCCGAGGTTCACCGAGCGCCTTCCACTACTCCCAGCAGAAAACAAATACACACAGACACAATTAATCGTCGATTCCCCCAAATATATGAAAAACATGGGAGGTGGGGGGGAAGACAAACCTAGGAAAAATGTAGGGAAATACGGGCAATCCTGTTAGTTGTGTGTATTTATTTGTGTGTCCCAGGGCCCCTTCATACTCGCAAAGCGCCTACTCGGAAGCGTCCCAGAATTGAACGTCTGTCTCGATGTAGTGGATCTCAAATCCCCCTTGGCGGATCCAGGCCATCTGCGAGCAGTTGCTTCGCGAGTGGGGTGCGCTTGTCTATCTGAGGTCCCAAAGCGG